TATTAATTAATCTTCGAAGTTTGGGAGGAGACCACAATCCAACCATAGCAGGATAGGTCAAAGCCATTGGTGACTAAGCATTACTCAAATTAAAATATGAAGATGTTGCTTTTTTTGTTTGTTTTGGGGGAGGGACAGTTTAATATCATCTGGGTCGTTTAGATTTAAACCTATAAGGAACTTCAGTGTTCATGTAACCTAATTCCATTTTACAGATGTGGAAACTGAGGCTCAGAAAGGTTAAACTGCTTGTCCATGGCCACACGGGGAGTATGTAGCAAAACTCGGATTTGAACCTCATGTCCTCCAAATCCAGACTGTTCATTACACCAAGTTGTAAATACAATTTTGAAGGTCTGAGGTACTTAAAAGTCACTGTCCTTCGAAATCATAATTTAATAACAATAACAATAATAATCAGAAATCTGTGTATTTAATTTTTTTCTTTGAAATCTGACAACTCGGCTAAAAAAACACTATATAATCATGTGGCTTCAGAAAACTTTGAAAAGAAAAATGAAAGTTGTCAGATGGAGAAGGGGAGTGAGTAAGCAGTTGGACCTACTCCATTCAATATAAAGATGCAGATTATGCAGAGCACTGATTCCAATATTTTTCTTTTAATGTTACCCTAACTAGTGGACAGTGGGGTCTTGAATGCATAATCCCAGTCCATTCAAATAGACTCAGTTTCGGATCTTTTGAGATTCAAATTCTTCCCAGTGTATTGAGATGAGCTGTAATAATTATGGGATCACAGTCGCAGATCCTGAATATGAGGCATTTGGAATGCACGCAGAATGTTGGAAAGAATGTTTTCATCTTGTTGGGATGAGGTCTGAGAACTTTGAAGAGATCGCCACTCACTGAATGCCGAGGCGGTGGCTGATGCTATTGCGTAGCAGATGGTCTTTAAAACTTCTTTAAAACGCTGGACCTCATGCAGATCCGTCCCCCAAAGAGACAGAGGCACCAGCATAAAAACTGAAAGCCCAGATTGATCTTTGTGTCTTTTATGGAAGAAGAAAAAATGTTGACAAAATATGCGAAATCTGAAGGCTCGAGGGCCATGTCAAAAAGGAAGAAAAAAAAGGGATAACCCCCAAGGAAGCTCAGACGTAAAAAGAGCAAAGGTGCGAAAACATGGTTTATTGCCATCACCACCACTACCACCACCACCACCCTGGCAAATGTTGGTTTTCACCTTGTTAGCCTGTCATGTGTCGTCCTCAGAGGTGACCTTTGGGGTCTTGCACAGTCGGAGAGCCATTCTTGCCATATGACTGGAGAGGCCAGGAGGAGAACAGGTTATGAAGCAAGTGAGACCTTCGAACAGTGACACCCCCCCTCCCGGAAGGAATTCAATCCCCTAGTCCTCTTTACTTCTTTTAAATGGGTATTTCTCCACCTCGGTCCACCCCACCTCCAAGCCAGTGCTTTTTCCTTATTCCCTACGACCAAATATAGATCACTTTCTTTGATTCCAGTAAACTCCTTAGACAGAGGTTACCTCGTAACTAGCAATAGGATCTCGGAATGGTTTAGCAGCTACCTTGAGGGTGGAGGCATGAAAGGTTGGGGCATCAGAGAAAATTACTGTGTGCAGCTCTTCCTCATTGGTTAAAGTGGTGGTGTCAGAACCCTGGAGTCCCCAACCACCATCCCCACTCCAATTCCCACCTTTTCACCTCTTCCTCGAACCATTTCCCTCTGTTCCCAGAACTTACCTCCCTCCTTCCCATCTCCCTCTTTCCCTCCCTACACCAGCACCGCTGGGCTGAAAAGTGCTGCTGTCTGCTAGAGGAATAAATAAGGCAAGAAAACCAGATACGAACTTCAGAACTCAACACTTCTTAGAGAGAGAGAGAAAGAGTCAGAGAAGGGGCAGAGTGAAGTGGGAGGGAGGGAGAGAGAGAGAGAGAGAGAGAGAGAGAGAGAGAGAGAGAGAGAGAGAGAGAGAGAGAGAGAGAGAGAGAGACCCCTGCTGATCCTGAGCATGAGGGAAGGTGGGAGGGAGGGAGAAGAGGGAAAGGAGTCAAGGGAAGACCCTGTCCAGGAGCAGCAGTAGTAAACGGCAGCAGCAGCCAGCAGCCGCCGCAGCAGCAGCAGCAGCCGCGGCAAAGAGCTCCCGGATTGGAAGCTCCGCGTGTATCAATCCTCCGGGCAGCTGTAGTAATTGCTGTTGCCGCTCTAGGCAAACCCAGTCAGCAGTGTCCGGGCTCTGTGCTCTCCGTCTAGCCCCTTGACCTGCGCTCCCCTTATTCTCAGCTCCAGGGCAGAGCGGGAGCAGAGGAGTAGGACAGAACGTACATAAAAGGGCAGGGCAGGACCGGACAGCACAGGGCAGGAGAGGTCTCAGAGGCCGGAGGCGGGGAACAGCCGAGGCCGGAGGAGGAGGAAAGGGGAGGGGAAGGAGTGGGTGATCCCTCTCCGATCGCCCCCTTTCTCCTATTCGCTCGAGTTGAATCTGTGCTGCCCGTGTCCAGGTGCTGGGCTTCCAGACAGACACGGACCCCACATCTCTGCCCGCAGCCGTCTTGTCATGCTACCCAAAGTGGAGACGGAAGCCCTAGGACTCGCGCGATCGCATGGGGAACAGGGGCAAATGCCGGAAAACATGCAAGGTAAGGCGGCACCGGTCGGCGCCTTCCCTCTTTTCCTTCTTCCCTCGTTCCCGGGCTCTGGCTCCCCGGTGAGGATCGGACTGGCTGGCTGCCTTCTAGCTCGCCAGGCATTGTGGCTGACCGACTGGGGCGCAGGCTGCGAGCTGGTCTGGATCCCGGGCCATCCCCTTCCCCAGGTACCTTCATAAAAGTTTATGACTTCTGAACAATTCAGGGTGGAGGTTTCCCGAGCTAGGACTAATTACTTCTCCTAATTAACTGGAGATGCTGCGATCCTCGGCCGGGAGACTTAGGGCTGGTCAGAACTTTAAACAATAACATTAATAATAGTGATGATAGTAGTGACCCAAACAAGTGAAGCTCTTCTTAGAAGTGTGAGCACGTTCTTAGCCTGGAGAAATTGTTAGAACTTTACTTTGACTTCCAGAGTTTTCTGACTTCAGGTGAGGGAAGCAATGGAAAAAGGGAGAATTCTGCCTAAGGAAATTGCCCAGAAAAAAAGGAAGGACCGCCAACGAAGGGTTTGGCTTAGAGGCTACCAGGCTAAAAGTTCTGGGATCTAGGACTGTGTTTGGCCAACTTCAAAGCCATCAGAAGGGCTAAAGGGACCAGAAGGGCACCCCCTCCCGGACACAACCCAGCGCAAAGAGAAGGGATGGGGGTGGGAAGGCCGGCGGATTAGCCTGATGCACTTAGTTCAATCAGAGTATTGGGAATATGTAAGTCCCATTTGTTTCTCTGGCTCTTGATTGCTAACAAGAAAACAAATAAATTCCACTGGCTATATTTTCACCGCACTCCTAAATAGCAGCTCCAGATCTGGCTTGCATTAAAGCAGCTTAGAAGTTTATCGCAGTTGCCCTGCGGTGGGGGAGCGCAGACTGGCTGGAGTGGGAGGGAACAATGCGAGGAAAAGTCACCGGTGCTCTTCCATCTTCACCGCCTCCACCGCTCAGGATGTGGTGTTTGCCTGGCCTGTGATCTCGGAATACTTCCTGCCATCCCCCTTTTGCGTACTTAAAAAGGGACCAGGAGTGAAAGCGCATATAGTTAAGGGCCAACATACAGAAGGACTTCGTCCCCTCTAGGCTCATAGGGACTACACTTCTGGTGAAGGCCCACCCCGAGTATGAAGTTAGCTAGGGAGGGGTGACTGAAGGAGTGGGAGGTTAAAGAGAGTCCTTCAGCCAGCCCCTTAAAGCAGTTATTATTAGGGTTTTTCCCAGTTCATTTCTGGGAAATGGTGACTGACTCCTTTTAGACCTAAGATCTCTTCCAAGACCAACTCCTGAGCATCGTAATGGGTTGCCCCAGAGGCCCAGTTGGCCACAAGTGGCGAAAGCCCCATAAATGATGAGGGGCTGTAGATCAAGAGGGTAAAATTGAAGGAAGATCTCCATTTAAATTCTCTTCCTTTAAAGTACTTGAGTTAAGAATGGGCTTGTATTTTTTGTGGCTGTCTCAAACTCCCAAGTCTGAGTAGGAAAAGTTACTCATTCATACTATGGATTATGTGTTTCCTAGACGTTTTGTATTTTTAGAGGACGAGGTGTTAGTTGCCATTTAAAAAAAAAGTAAAGAAGGAAGAGAGAGAGAAAAAAAGAAAGAAAATAACTTTTTAAGCAAGTTATTCGAGACAGGACAGCTTTTTCAATAGTTGTTCCTAAAAGTAGGACGATCCCTACCCTGTGAACGAGCTGAGAAAAGGTTGGTCTCCCACCGACTCCCACTTCTCAAAGGACTCGGTTGTGGGTTCAAACCCCAGACTGGGGTGGGGGAGGCCTCCTTTCTGTGTTATTTATTCTATCAAACCCCCATCCTTGGTGGGAGAGAAAATCGTGTTGGGAAGAGAAATTTTCGTTCCTAGCTGTCCTCGATGCTCCGAGTCACAACCGAACCAGGTAGCAGGCAGGTGCCTGTTCAGTGATTAAAAGAGAAATCCAAAGGGAAAAGATTGTTTCCTCCATTGGAAAAAGATCCACTAAGGAAGAGGGCTCGATTAACTCGGCTCCCGGTATACCCAACTTCTCTGCCCCCCCACTCAGTTTCTTAGTTTCCAGCCTTAGTCCCTCACTTCTCACGCAACATCCCTCTTTTTCTCTAGAGCTGCAGGAGGACTCTGGAGCTGGAGAGGAAGCGTGACATTGTATGGGTTCTGTTTGCCCAAGTTATTAAACTAGTCTGATCAGGGTACGGTGACCCTCTCCATCTAGGTCACTGGGAAGTTCTGAAAAGTGGGTCCTCCTCTCTCTCCCTCCCTCCTGCGCCCATACTCCTCCCTGATCTGGCTTTGGCTTTTTCCCGAAGCTTGAGAAGTACGCCCCCCCCCCCCATCTTCTTCATGCCCTGTCCTCGAAAGTAGGAGCATCTGATTGGAAAGCAGTTCGGCATTCTCTGAGCCTCCTCCGATCTGTTGGGCGAGGATTCGGGGGACAGGGGACACTTTAACGTGAAGTCCACTTCGGTTTTTTGTTTTTTGTTTGTTTTTTGTTCTTTTTTTTTTTCTGTTCCAAAAGTCCCATGAAAACAAAATCAAGAATCATAGGGAGCGATTTGCTCATAAACAAACAAGTCTCCAACCTCTAGCCTTGCGACACACGTTCTCCAAGCCCGAGGGCTGGGCGATAGAAGTGGGGGAGCCTGAATGACAGCCCCCCGGGACGCTCCATAGGCTCTCCATAAGACCTGAAGAACCTTTATTTCTCTCTCTGCTTTTCCTTGAGCCTTACAACCTCGTCGCCAGCACCGCGAAACATTTCTCCTCTCAGCAAGGCGTAAATTTCATTCAGAAGCAATATTGGGACTAGAGATCTTCCCCAAGTCCTCCGCATCTCCGGGGGTCCGTCGAGGACATTTTCGAAGCGATCCTCGACTTTCGCTGTTGCTGCTGTTGCTGTTGCTGCTGCGTGCTCCAACTTTTAAGAGATCACATTCTGCTCTGGAGACTTGGGACTTTTACCAGCTGCCCCAGATCCGAGGGGCCCCCAAAATCCACAGGCAAAGAGGACTTTGCTTGTCATTGCTGAGATGACGGCAAATGGGACAGGTAGTTAGTGGAGTGTACTGTGCGTTGTGGGTCATTGGAAGGGAGGGAGGCGTTGGGGAGAAAACATTTTTCCCCTTTAACGGGTAAACAAATCAAACGAGACTTCTGCTGCTGCCCCGGCGTCCGTTTCCCTTCCCACCCCCGCCTGGCTGCAAAATGCCATTGATTAACTTAAAACAAACTTAGCTCGGGCGCTGTTTTCGAAGCAGGTCGGCAGGGGCCGAGCAGGGCAGGGGAGGAACGTGGGACTGAAGAGAGGGATGAGCTAGAGAAGAGCTCGCCTTTATTTCGGAAGTGAAAGAGGAGGGTCTCCAGGAGTGGGTACCGGCAGAGCTGGGCAGGGCAATTGCCTTTAACCACTTTTCCCAGCTCCTTTTCGCGCTCCGAGGTTTCTCCAAGTTGCTTAAAGGCAGCAATTTCCCCCCTTGGAAGACGGCAGCCGCCTCTTGTGAATGAATATAATTAGACGGGGTGGTTGGATCAGGTATATATTTTTCAGTGTCTTCTAACTGCTGACCTTCCTGTTTACATTTTATACATCTTTTTAGTTACAGCGAGGCATTCGCCGTCCTTTCTCCATAGAAGTTGGTTACTTGATCCAGGTATGGTTGGCCGGCGCGTCTTTGGGAACTCACTAGTGTTTAACTTGACCATGGAAATCTAAAGGTGTTTATGTTTTGCAATGATTATCGGAAACATGTGAAATTCATTACCGGGCTTCAATACTTCACCCCGAAACCAAACCCTAGTGTGTACCTTCCCCCTCTTTCTGTTTTATTTCTTCGGGTCCCCTTCCCTCTCCTCCCTCCTTTTCTCTCCTCCACTTTTTTTTTCCTTTTCACAGGAGATTTTCCACCGTGGGAAGATGAAAGTGTACATACAGCACAGGAGCCCTGTCGATAAGGAAACTTGGATGTTTCGATTAATCTAGCAGATCTGAGCCCAGGGAGTGTCAGGCTTTTGTTAAAGAAGGGCTGCTACTCAGAATCAAATTTCCAGGGTTTTAGGTTACAGTACAGTATTTTAAACCTGCAGCACTGTGACTAGAACCGCCAGGAGAGGAATGAAATTGTGTGGTAGATTAATTGGTGCAGTCCCGTGTTATTATCATAACAGACGCTTAAGGGAAGCCAGTCTGCTGGAAGGGTTGTGTTGGGAGGAAGAAGGGGAAATACCACCACCACCCTTCAAGAAGTGACATTTTGGAGTTGGTCTTTGTCAGAGTGCTTTGAAAGACGCTTAAAGGGTTAATTTTAAGTTACTCTTTCTTCTCTAATTTGTGGTCCTCTATAGAGTAATTCAAATTTTGTGCCAAGATGATTTTAACACTTTTAAAGATAACTTTACAAATTAAAACAAAGTCTACCTTCCCTAGTTCCACAAGCTGCTTGTTGTTTTACTTTCAATATGTTTTTTTTTCTTTTAACTCAATCCAACAGAAGTTATGTAAAAAGTTTCTTCAATGGTATAGGGTCTCTGAAGGGTCTGTCACCCAACAATCCCTGAGATGTTTCTGACTACAAAAATCCAAACTCCTGGCACTGATGAATTAATGGGGTGTATAGTGAGATATGTCTCTGTATGCATATGTACATGTCTGTATTTCTTGCCTCTTGCAGTGTCTCAATTTAAAATGGTGAATTACTCTTATGATGAGGATCTTGAAGAACTTTGTCCAGTTTGTGGAGATAAAGTTTCTGGGTACCACTATGGACTTCTCACCTGTGAAAGCTGCAAGGTTTGGTACACATTGATAACTAGAAATTTTTGAAAGTTCAGAACAAAAAACAAATGTGCCATTAAATGGCTTTGGATTCTTTAGGCTAATTTTTTTTTAATTAAGGGAGGTCACTTCTTGGGGAGATTCTTAGAAAAATATCATAAAGCAAAGAAAACCCATGCTGCCCCAAATTGCCTTTGCCATCTTAAATTCTTTGAAATATTTTATTGTTCAAAGTGATGTGACTGGAGAAAGATCTCCATTTCCAACAGCCTTAACTATTGATTTCAAGTGATTAGTAAATATTTAGAGCACTGTTTTTCTTCAAAGAAAAGATGAATATATTTCTCAAACACATTTTATTTTATCTCATTGTCAGTGTTCAGGGCTGATATTATTTTTTAGCCATCAACAAAAAATTATCCATTTACATTTCCATGGTTTCATTCTCATTTATCCCTTAACGGAAACACAAGTATTTATTTGGAAATGTATGGCAAAGAAGCAAAGCGTAATAAATGAGACTATAACAATATGATTAGTTTCATAACATGTCACCTATAACTTATTTCAATTAAGGCAATGGTATTTTATGAAGTGCAGACCTTTAAACCTTCTAAATGAAATGATAGCTCTTTTTCATTAGTGCATTTTTAATGTGGAAAAATCTATATAACTGTTTAAATGTGCATCATGTAAACTTCTTCATTGCCTACATCACAGCAAGATGGAGTTTCCTTATATGATTAACAGGATGAACCTAGAAAGCTTCTTGCAGATCTGTTAAGAAACTACAAATCTAATTGATTCCTAATTCCTCTGAACCAAAAAGTAAAGCAAAATAGGCAAAACACTACAAGTATCCAAACTTCTGTTTTCTTATGGAACATGTTTGCTTTTTTTAAAACCATTTTATCCTTAAGAAAAAAAAACAAAGAGTTCCCATGTTTGAATATATTTCATTAGAGTTATAACTTCCCTTTATTATTCTTTAACTCTCGCAGTTGCTAACTTTGGAGTTTATGAAAGATCTGAGGTTCCACACTATTCTATTTTCATTGCATTTTGTGACCATTTATTACTTAATTTGTATCAGATTATTTTAAAATGACACAATCCCCAAAGAATATCTAGATATGAAATACAAATATTAAGAACAGACCAAAGGACATAATTTAAACACACATACACAGAAAATAGTGGTCAATATAGGGTGTTTTACTTTCAGACTATTAGGAAAAGAATAGTCTCCAGCCAAGATTTGACGTAAATCTACAATACTACTGCCCTGTTGCCAGAAAATCTGAGTTATAGCCTGGCACTTTTTTGGAGGGTCTATCCTGCTTAAATGTAAAATAAACCACAGAACCACATCAGGACTCAAATGGGGTAATGAAAAAGATTTGATGTTTTATTTTAAGGAAATCACCAACCGAGAAGCCTGGTGCTTGAGTTATATGTTTCACTGTTTTCTCCCTTTTGTAGGGGTTTTTTAAGCGAACAGTCCAAAATAACAAAAGGTACACATGCATAGAAAATCAGAACTGCCAAATTGACAAAACACAGAGAAAACGATGCCCTTACTGTCGATTTCAAAAATGCCTAAGTGTCGGAATGAAGTTAGAAGGTAAGACTCTTCCGAAGATTATACTGCCTCCTCAAATCCTGCAACATTTTAACTTTAAGAAAGAACTATCTTGTTCACTATATTTTCTCAGCCTGTGGCTCTAAGGTCCATCACATAAAATGTCATTTTTTTTTTTGTTTTGACTGCCATCAGTTACCTAGTCATAAGTTCCAGTTGTGTATCAATAAAAAGTGGTTAAATCCTAGTGGAAAAACAAACAAACAAACAGCAACCAACTTAAATATATTTATTAGGAGAAGGAGAGGGCAGGTTATTTAACACTGCACAAAAGGTCAGGCCAGATAAGAAGAGATCTAATCAAAAGATCAATATAGGACAAATAGAAATTCAGAATTAAAAAAAAATCCATCACAGATTTTTATGTCTTTTAGTTGTCTTGGTTTGAGTCCGTATTTGTATGTGTGATTAGAACTGTCATTTGGTTTTATATATATATATATATGTATGTATGTATGTATAGACATGAGCCTCAAAGTAATTACTAAAGAGTCATTAACTGTGAACAGTAATTTCTCATGTGATATCTTTCCCATGTGTTTTTCTTGAGCTATTTTCTGAGTCTACGTAAGAAAAATCAGAGTTGGTGTAAGTTCACTGAAGGATTTTCTTTAATTCTTTTATGAATTTTAAAAGAAATCTAAGTGGAAAATCATGTTGTCTTAAATGGGTAGTGTTGGTTTGACAAGAAAGAGAATGATTCTTCAGTCTTCTCTCTAAATTTGGTATTGAAAGATGTATACTGTGATTTTTTTTTTACATACCAAGTATGAGGATGTAAAGTGAGTGTGCTCTGGGATTGCTGCAAATAATTTGGAGCCCATAGATTATTGCCATGTTTGTTTTCCACTCTCTGATCTACAAGGTGTCCATGGCTTAAATATATAGCTTATAAACTCAGGATGGTCAGTGGGTTGGTGACCCACCAATATATGCATGTAGTACTTGATATCAAATGCTCATTTGTTTATTTGTCCAAAAATCACCAATTTGTTTATTATTCTTCTTTTATTTAAAAACTCAGGTCTTGTACAAATGCTTAAAGAGATCCCAACAACTCCCACTGAATTTCCACTTTATTCCTTCTAAAAAGTTGGAAATTGCTATTTCACTTAGTTATCAGTGTCATTGCTAAGATGATATCAAGAAAGCTTTTTTTAATTTGGGGGTACCACTTTATTATGTTCAAAATACTGAAATCCTCTATGAAGGGTAATAAAAAAAAAGCATGAGGCTGTACTTTGTCATATTAATTTTAAAATAGTTAAATTACTGTATGAGATGGGGAAAATTTTCACTCAGAAAGCATAATTTGTCCTTAGCATAGAAGTGACAGTCAATAACTAAGGTCATTTCATTTTTCATTGATATAACCCAAAATACATTCTTGTTCATATGTCCAAACTTATAGTTTCTGCAATCCAAAGTTACATCACTTTCCTTCATTTTTCTTAAATGATACATTTTGTTCTCCCAATCATAGTGGCAATATTCAATTAAGTTTAATTTTTTTAATGACAAAGGATAATAGGTTAGATTTCTTTCTTTTTTTTTTCTGAGAGTAGGCTTTTTCACTTTTAAAAGCCTTTTAGTGTATATATTTCCCTAATACTGACCTGCAGTTTGGGATATTTGCAAAACACAGATTTTTAAATTTTATAAAGTACAAAGGTCTTTGTGACTATGTGCTTTATAATGAATACCCACAATTTATATTACAGTTTTAATGTTACACTAATCTCTAGGCTAAAAAGCTCAAAAAATTAGTCTCCAGAAATTTCAACTCTAGTTAGAAGGACCTGGGTTCAAATCCCAGTTTTGTCACGGACTAACCTCTATGATTTGGGGCAATCCACTTAATATGTCCTTACCTGGGAAAAGAAATAGTAGTACTAGATAATTTCTAACATCTCTTCTAGCGCTAACCCTATGCCAACAAGCCGTCAGAGGGTACTGTTTTCTATCTAACTGTCATTGGCTTGTGTGAGCTTGATAATAACTACTGACTGATATATTAGGCACAAAAATAAGCATGAGAAATATCTTCTTGTGTTGCAAACGACACTGGATTTGGGAGTTAGAAAGCCTGTGATTGTTAATAGTGTTATTAAATAGCTGTATGATCTTAAGGAAGTCACTTAGGATTACAGTTTCCTCATTGGTAAACTGATAAGGATCCCAGGTCTGCTGCTTACTTAGTTGTGTGACCTTAGACAAGTAACTTAACCCCTCTGGCCTTTACTTTCTTTATCTGTAAAGTGAGAGGTAGGGCTAGGTGATACCTAAGGTATCTTTCAAGCTTCACGTCTAAGACCCTGTGATCCTACAACTCAGAGATCTCTAAGGTCCTTTTCAAGGTCAACAGTGCTATGACTCTCCCTTTATAGACCATGGTGGAAAATGTCCCTATAACAAAACCCAGCAAAATGGTACTTCTCGCACAGTTGTTGAACTAAATTTGTTTTCACTATTTCTAATGTTAATAACACCAGAAAGTTCCAAATTGCCTCTCATTCTCTCTTGGAAATGGTAATATGACAAATTCTCTTCAAAGAGAGATGAAAATTATTTCCCCAAAGTAGCAAGTCCCTAACACTTTTCTTATGAAAGGGCCGTGATGATTCCACAAGGAAAAGATGTCCTATTGAAAGTAATCATAGCTTAAGTTAGGAATGTGTCACTGAATAAGTTATTTTTTAAAAACTTTTATGCAGTTTGGGTCTATGAACAGAATCCTAAGTCAACATGGCACTCTAGCCCAGAAACACTAACATTCATTCCTAATAAAACAGTCAAAGAGTAATACAGAAAGTCCTTTTTATTTAGTGACAGGTATGAAGCATACCCCACTCCCCAAGTCCACTGAAGGGTTAATATAACCCAACATGTCCAAAATATTTTTCTGATGACAAAACACATTTGCAGGAAAGAATTCATAAATAAAAAAGACATGACTTTTTTGGAATCCTGCAGCTATTGTGATGAAAACAACCGCACACACAAAAAAAAACCAGTTTTGGTCAATTTCCAACATTTCCGAACAGTGTTTTTTGAACTGAAGAATGCTATTGGTTTGCACTTTATTTATACTCCTACTTCCTTCTTTCTTTTCTTTTCTTCCTTTTCTTTTCTTTTTTTTTTGACCAACAGCTGTAAGGGCCGACCGAATGCGAGGGGGAAGAAATAAATTTGGACCAATGTACAAGAGAGACAGGGCCCTGAAGCAACAGAAAAAAGCTCTTATCCGAGCCAATGGACTTAAACTGGAAGCCATGACTCAGGTGATCCAAGCAATGCCCACTGACCTGACGATATCCTCCGCCATCCAGAACATCCACTCTGTTTCAAAAGGCCTACCTCTGAACCACACTGCCTTGCCTCCTACAGACTATGACCGAAGTCCCTTTGTAACCTCTCCCATTAGCATGACAATGCCACCCCATGGAAGCCTGCAAGGTTACCAAACCTATGGCCACTTTCCAAGTCGAGCTATCAAGTCTGAGTATCCTGATCCTTATACTAGTTCTCCAGAGTCAATAATGGGTTATTCATACATGGACAGTTGTTACCAGACAAGCTCACCGGCAAGTATCCCACATCTGATCTTGGAACTTTTGAAATGTGAGCCAGATGAGCCACAAGTCCAAGCCAAAATTATGGCCTACTTGCAGCAAGAGCAAGCCAACAGAAGCAAACATGAAAAGCTCAATACGTTTGGGCTGATGTGCAAAATGGCCGACCAAACTCTCTTCTCCATTGTTGAGTGGGCCAGAAGTAGCATATTCTTCCGAGAACTCAAGGTAGGTCATGAGCTGTTATCAATTATTCCCTGCAAGGAAAGGAATAACTGCTTTTGGCCATAATAAGAAGTTTCTGGCATTGATAATACATTTTATGTTGTTTTCATGTATGTTTTCTAGAGTAAGAACCTATTACAATAGTGACATCGGGGACAGAAATGGTATCATTGTCATATAGCTTTATAGGAGACTTTTATTATATGCCACATTGAGGAAGAAGATTTGACCCAAGATATCTATAGTAATAATGAACTGCGTGATAATGGGTTTTTACTGTATAACTCAATTAAACTTTCATTGATTTATTACACTAACCCAGTAGCATCAATGCCAGAAAGTCTATGGGATCTATTCTATTATTCATCAAAAGAAATAATGTATGTGAAGTGCTTTGCAAACATTTCAGTCTATATACATGTAAGCTATTAATATTATTATTACTCTTCTTTTGAAATGTGGTGTATATTTCTTAGTTTCTTTATAAGCTTGCTTTTAACTTAAAAAAAAAGGCCAACACCTTGAGGCAGTTGTATTTACATTCCAAAGAATGCAAAACATACCACTTGTCAGTTGTGTCTAATAGGTATTTACTACCTGTTTACCTAGACATTTGGTTAGTAAAGCGTTTGCTTGGGGAGTAGATTCCAACGGTATGTTTATAGTCATTGGATGACATTTTACCCATGTGAAAACGTGTAAAATGCCCAGTGCTACTCTATTTGATTCAGGTTTTAGTCTTTTAATGGATTGGTGTATCGTAAATGTTTAATCTCTTGTGTTATTTGCTTACCTAAGGATCTTTATTTAACTACATAATTGCACTTCTAATTGTACCTTACCTTGAAACATGAGGCTGAAAAAATATGGGTAGGTTACTGACAAGAAGGTGGTCCAGGAGGGACTACTAAGTCTCCAGTTGAACTGGTCAGTAATCTAAAAAGCCAGAAAGCTCTATTTCTCTGTCTTTTAATGCCCACTGTGGAAGGGCAGTCATCTCTAACACTCTAGTCACTGCACAGCTTGTGACATTCAGGAGGTGTTTTAAATCTTTTCAGTAGTTGACAAAAGTCATTAAATATCCATTAAGCACCTACTATGTGCCAGGCACTGTGTTCAGCTCTGGGGATAAAAAGAAAGGCAAAAGAAAGTCCCTACTCTCAAAGAACTCAATGAGAAGGAAAACCCTTATCCTGCTCAGCTTCTGATATTAGTGATAATCACCTTTGTGGACTAGACACTATGGAGGAGCTTGGACAAAGGGAAATGATGCTTTCCATGGAAGCTCTTTCACCTGGGTCTTAGTTTCCTTAGGAGCTCGGACTAGACCAGGGGTTCTTAACCTGAGGATAAAGCACTTGCCCACTTTCCCACTGAGACTTCCTCATGTATGGGAAAGAACAGATTCTAGGGAACTACTGAAAAATGTTGATGGGCTGATGAGATTTGCAAAGTGGGTAACAAGACATCTGTAGCAGGAAATTAACTGGATTTAGAGGTAGACAAGACATTAGAAATAAATTAGTTCAGTTCTTTCATTTTTACAATTAGAGAAGCTGAAATCAAAGAGGACTAAATTTCCCCAGAATATAAGCTCCTGGAGGGCAGGGATTATTTCAGGTTTTTATCTTTGTGTCATCAGTGCCTACCATAATGATCTGAACAATGGTAAGTATTTAATCAGTATTTGCTTAACTGCATTAAGTGATTTACCAGAAGTCATACAGGGAATAAATAGTAAAGCTAGGATTTAAAAGGTCTTCATTTGCCAAATCTAGTGCTCCTTCCACTAGACTATATATAAGGTCTCTTATTCTTATAGGCACAAGTCATTAACTAGCATCACTTCAATTTTTAAAAAAGACATGGGTGTCTACTATAGCTGAAAGATGAAGTCTTCCCTCCTGAAATCACTTACATTGAAAACAGACTCACAGGTGCCACAGTGATGGGCAGACAGACATTTGTAGAGGACAAAGAATACTTTGTGCCCTTCAACTCCAAAAAGGCAAGTGTTGGCCTCTGAAGAAATCTCCAGGCTACCAATAATATCTCAATCCTGTAATAATAACATTACTAGTAATTAGTGAGAGAGGTTTTCCCAGGGTTTCTGGGGCACTCAAGGTCTACCACTTTGGAGTAATTGATCAGGAGAGTTCAGAAAACTACAGAAAACTACAAGGAATCTTTGGGAACACCAATGTACCATTCAGAGCAGTAGATGAATAACTGACTAAATGGCATGCATTGAAAAACTTTATGAAGCATCAAAACATTAATATCCTGGAAATTATTGATTTTCTAAAACAGTGGGCCATGGGCCCCATTGGTGCTCCTGATATTTTCTGGGGGGAGACTCAAGATCAAAATGATTTTCATAATAACAAGATATTTTAATTTCTAAAATGGTAAGGAAGGAAGGAAAAAGGAAGGAAGGACAATGGATTAGATAGATAGATAGATAGATAGATAGATAGATAGATAGATAGATAGATAGATAGATAGATAGCCAACATAAACAAAAGCTGTTAAAGAGGAGGGGGGTCTTCAATAATTTTTAAGAGGGTAAAAGTTATTTTTTATTCTACCTTGTAGATACTATGGCAGATTCTTAACCCCTGATGCTACATTTAGGATGCACGAATTCATATATATCTCCCATTCCGTCCTAAAAAGAAATCGGGGTGGATTAAAAAAAAATAGAAAATATACAGAGAATAGATAATAGTAAAAAGGCACTAGGCTGGCCAATAGTGAACTTTTTAAAAAATTTCACTTTAACCAAAGCCTTACAAATAATTTTGAGATGGCATCTTCTGGCTAGTGGTAGTTCCTTCCAGTCATTTAGAAGCAATACGTGTCCCATAGCGGCCTCTGGTTTTCAGTTTTTCATTCTGTCTTTGGAAATGAAAGGCAAATACAAGACTTCCTTCCATGAAGAAAAACTTATATTTATGGATCCAAAGGATAGTAAATTAGCTTCCAATTATTTCTCTCCAACTTTGGGTGTGGGCAGTTCTCCTAGGCAAGAAAATAAGAATAGGAAATCTAGAGCAGCTAATGAATATAGGGTGAACATCTAGAGACTAGATATCCTAAAAGGATGAGGATGAGGATGATGATGATGATGATGATGATATTAACAACAGCAACATAAACATTTCCTTACACAAAGAACAGAACTGGGGGGCAAAACCATGACTATGACATACAGTTTGGTTTTTTAAGGCATATACTACATTTTTATATAGTTCCAACAATAACTCCTTCTGAACTTCTTGATCCCTTCTATATATTTTTGAATGTTTTCATCAACACTCCTTTCTCTTTTTTAAGAAAAAATCGCTCTATGATTCTTCCCCATTTCCTCCCAAAATTCCCTTGCTACTATAGAAAGTCCTCTTTTATAACAATAAGTATACTCAAACAAAACAAACCCACACATTTGTTTCATTCTGAACCTTTAGTCGATCATTGCTCTGCCAAGAAATGGAAAGAATGATTCATCATCAGTCATCCAGAGCCATGATTGGGCATTGCATTGATCTGAGTCCCTAAGTCTTTCACCATTTGTTTGTAAGGGTTTTTTTCAGTTACAGTATTAACATGTGGTCATCATGTAAACTGATCTCCTGGTCCTGATCATTTCACTCCATATCAGTTCATAAAAATCTGATTTTTCTGAATTTTTGTATCATTGGCACAATTATATTCCATTACATGCCTATCCCCATTATTTGTTCAGCCACTCCCCAGATAATGGACACTTCCTTTGTTTTTTACTTTTTGTTAAAACAAAAAAAATGCTGCTGTAAATATGTTTTGTCCATATAGGACTTTTCCCTCTTTCATTTATCCCTTTAGGGTCTATTCCTGGTAGTGATATCACTGAGTCAAAGTGATACACAGCCCTAAGAGGATTCTGAGGATAGAGATGTAAAATCCTTCCTAAGATTAATGACCCTGACCCATGCAATAGCAGTGAATCTAAAATAATTTTGCTATGAATTCTTAACTAGCTTTTCTGTGGGGGGAAAATAGATTTTTCGAGTTACTTTAAAAGTTTATGGAATAGGAACTTGGCAACTTCCAAAATCAAATCTCTACAAAGCAGAGAAGTTTTTTAATAGGAAAAGCTTAATTTTCCTGTAATCAGTCTCCAAAACTATCTCCAGGCAGATTTCAATGGCCTGAAAAACTATTTTTGATACCTTTCTTCAATCCTCAGTGATAAAAACTCACAACTGCCAAGACACTTTACAGTTTACAAAGGGTTTTTCTCATAATAGTTCTGTGAAGTATTATAAGTATTATTAACATCACTTGACAGATGAGGATAGTGACATGAAGAGAATCTAAGTGTACCCATTGTCAAAGGACTAGTATATGGTTTAATATAAATGGGATTTACAACCAGACCTTCTGATTCTAAATCCAGTAATCTTTATATTCTGTCTACACCATACTGCCTCACCAATCTGAGAACCTATGGAATCTGATCCAATCTAAGTTTGATTCTGTGGTAAATTTGTTTAAGCATTCCTTTCTTAAAAAGTGTGGTAAAGGAGAGCATGTGCATAATATCTAAGACTGCACCTGATTCTATTGGACTTTTTCTTTCATTCTTTCATTCACTATGAGGCTGGTCCTTGAGACTTGTAAGTTCTAACCACAGGCTTCTTACCAATTCATTTTGTACCCTACAGTTAATCCTGAATGACACCTCCCCAAATCTCACACACACACACACACACACACACACACACACACACACCCCTGCCTAGGTTTTTATTTCCCTGATTACAAAATAAAGTATTCCAATAAGGAGGCTGTAAGAAGGAAGAAAACATTGAAAAACCACTTTTAAAGTCAGGAGTAATATTGTTTCTGAATGCAAATTAAATTTCTCAGAATCATAGAATATCAGACTTGTAGGGGGCCTTCTCCAATCTTTTTACTTATGTCTTGCCACTGGACTCTGATGACTTTGCACAGCCCTGCCT